TGAGCCTAACAATTTCAATATATAAAAGCAACCAACTGATAATTTTACGTGTATTTGTTATGTCTGTTGTTGTAATGTCCATGTTTAATGCTTATTTTATCAAGAAGTTTTTTGTACTTGTCTGGCTTGTTTTGTTTTGTAATACTAATTTGAATAATTGCCAGGTGGTCTCTCCTTTGTAAGACATTTTTTTTGGTTTGAAGAAGCAGTCAGTTGAGTAATAGTCACTTCACAGTAGCTACAGGACATAAGCACTGTACTGCTATAAAAAAGAATTATGCACCAGAAGGTGGAAGCTAAAATTTATGGTAAGTGGGTTTTTGGTTGCTTAGTTGGAACTTTTATTAAGCTTAACTCAAAGACATAAAATTCAGTGCCTGTAATCCTTGTCCACTATATTCCAGTCTAATTTATGTGCAGAGGATTCCCTACAGCACAAGCTTTATTTTACAGTTTATTAGCATTGTTGCACTATAAAGCCTACCTATCAAGATGAAGAACTGCTCGGCCTATCCTTGCCAGACCTGCTGCAAGGATACTTTCTTGTAAACCTATGGAACATAAAGAAAATCAGAAAGAATTTGAGGTTATTATAAATTTCTTTCCCCCTCCCCATCTATATCTGTTCTTTTTTTCTTTGGCCTGCTTTCTTAACTGTTTTTCATTTTACAAGGCTAGAAATCTATGTAATAAATCTGCCGAATTTTGTCAAAGTTTCAGAATTTTCCAAAAAGAACTTCGAAATTCCCAAAACAGCTTAAATTGCTGTAGTTGGTTTTTTTTTTTTTTTGTTTTTTTTTTTTGCAATACCGTAAAACCTTGAATTGAAGCCCAAGGCTTCCTCCTTTTTTGTGGACTTTGGATGGGCTTCTTTCCAAGGGTATTCTTTTTGAGGCCACTTTTGCAAAGTAAATTGGGAATTAATACTAAAACAATAAATAGGGCCACTGTAAGATCAATCAGTATCATGGAGTGTATTAACTGGCACTAAATCGCCTAATATTGTATAAACCAAATATGTTTTTAATTAATTTTGTTTGTTTGAAATTCATGTACAGTGTATGTACCGGAGAACCAGTCAATTCGAGCAGATGCCACTTCGAGCGGTACGAATAACCTTAAGATTTCCTATTTTGAGCTAACAAGTTGCATTCAGCCTGGGAGCCAGGGGGTATGAAGGGGGGGGGGGGGGCACCTGTCTCTTATACACATCTAGATGTGTATAAGAGACAGACCATAAGGTGATTGAAAAGATCGGAAACTTGTAAAAACAATGTCAGGAACCCAAAATGTGACAAAAAAACCCACTTTACTTTTCGCGCCCCCAATCAGCACCTCCATTTCAAGACTTCTAGATATGCCACTGCAGCCAGGGGAAAAGCCCCAGTGGGTTCCGGGGGAGAAGCCTATAGCCTTATGTATAGAAAAAGTTGTTTTTAATTGATTTATAAGGTTAACAATTTACAATTAAACATACCTATGTTCATAAAATAATGTTTAGTCACTGTTATTCTTTCCACATGCTAAGTTAAAAAAAAAAGTGGGTTTTGAACTATAGACGAATAGTGAATAGTGGAGAAAATTTGTATGATGTCTATTTACTGTGTTGTTGATAGACAGGGGCTGGTGGATCCAGAATTTTTCAAACGGTGGGGTGGGGCACAACAGTTTCAGAATAGATAAGTGAGTAGCCCATAACATTATATGCATTGACATTTTTAAAATTTAGTGTCAAAACGGGAAGGGGGAGGGCACGTGCTTTCCCGTGCCCCCTACTGGATCCGCCCCTGTGTCACACTACTACATCAATGATTTGTGCAACTTCTGACACCATATATGTAAAAATAATTTTGATTTCTATGGTGAATAACAATTAAAATTACAGTTAAAAAATTACTGTAATTTTAAAATTACAGTTTAATTACATTTACAAATAGAGGCCTAAATTGTAAATCTACTGTACAAATACAGTTAGAACACTATATAATTCAATTTCAAATACAATTTGCTTTTTTAATATACAAAACCCCAACTGGAGACAAAAACCATGAATTCACCTGAACGTGCGAAATTCTATAGTTTTAAAATATTATGTGCTTGCTAGGGGCCATCTGGTAGTCAGATTTGCCAAGACTGTAATTCAAACATGGAATAATAATCAAAAAGTACCAAAAACATTCAGGAACTTTAGTGCACAGAGCATTTTTTGCAGTTGAAAAAAAACAAATACAGGAATAGGGCGACGATAAATTTGCCCTTGTTATAGTTTGCACTAAATGCATCCACTCGAACTGGCATCCGCTCAAACTGACATCTGCTTGAACTGTCATTCGCTCGAATTGAATGGAATTCATGTACTGTAGATCTATTATCTCAAAAAGAAGCCTATGCTATCTTGAGATGGGCTTATTTTTTTTAGGCTAATTTTGCAAATGAAGGGGTGGGCTTCAATTTGAGATGGGCTTTTCTCAAGACTAAGTCCATTGGGCTTCATTTCAAGGTTTTATGGTATTCGTTTAAGTATTTCTCATACATATGATGAAAACTTGGATTTTAACATTTTAAAGTTGGGGGGGGGTGCTACCTCATGAGGGATTATGACCGGTTGAGCCGCCGACAAGTTGAGCCGCCGGTCATTTCTATGGAACGCCAAGCGCGTCTCTTAGTGAATGTAGTGCGTTAATTGCGGCGTATTTCAATTAACTTATTCGTTCTTGGTACTGTTATTTGGGATGTATTTCAGTTTATTTACTCAATTATTTCAATTTATTTAATACTCGGATTTTGCAATGATTTATTAAATATTTTTGGGATGTATTTCAATTTATTTACTTCTATCGTTTTAATTTAAATTTTGTGAGTATTTGCTCAGTCAGCTTGCCAGATAGTAAAAGAAAAAACTCCATACATTCTTATCATTTATTATATATAAGTTTAACAAATAGTACAAAAATAAAAAGTAATAAATTACAAAACCATAGTAAATACTGTATAATAACATAGACCTAACACATTTAAATTTATTGTTTATAGTCATCTGTCTAATTCAGTCGGCTTGCCAGATAGTAAAAAAAAAAAACTCCATACATTATTATCATTTATTATATAAAATGATATATAATAAATATAATTTAATTAAATAATTTAACAAAATAGTACAAATAACGAATAAGTTAATTGAAATACGCCGCAAACCAAACGTAAATAAACACATTTTTAATACGATTTTGCAATTATACAACTTCATTTAT